TTCTTACATGCTTCGGGAGTCCATTAACACATACTGAATGAGCAACCACTTCTTTGCTGTCATTTAGCTTGCAACGTTGCTTTGTCTCAATGCAGGAATTATTGCAACCCTCTTTTCTCACAGGTAAGAAGCGATTCATTCCGTGTAACTGCAGTTGGCTTCAACGGCTTAAAGATAGGTTTTGTAATATTGTTAGGTTTGCAAGATGTTGCAGTGAGTTTGCACATGTGTCTCTTTGAACTTGTCCTTAGACAAATCCCGGAGCAATTGCTGCACTCCATTGGCTGTTTCCTGACACATTTTGATATAACAACCAGCCTCCTTTTCTCATTCCTTCCTCGACACTTATGCTTCTCAATGCAGTAGCTAGGACACTCATTGATAGTACCATTTCTTTCCTTGCATGATACTCCTTTGAGTTTGCGACTTATTTCTCCTTCAACTGCTACCAAGAAAACAAGGAGAGAGAGAACGACAAGAACAAACGAAAGCCTCATGTTTTTGTCTTGTGTGGGCTAACTAGAGTAAAGCTCAAAGGTCTAGCTTATATAGCGAGTCGTGATAGTTCACATGATGCTTGTCCATGCTACCTTATATGGAATTTTCAATACTATGCCCAATTAGGCCGCTATTCACAACTCACACACAAAAGAACTTCCACCTTCTCATTGTATTACAAATGCACTGTAGGACCATTGACAAAAAACCTCATAATAGCAAGCCTGGAATTTACACATTAGCAAAATAGCATAAATTAATAATTGCACTATTTGTGTGTTTTCTGACAGTTGAATGTAATGAATTAGGCAGAAATAAATTACATTACCGTTAAACTGCATGCACCACCTATGGGTACATTAATCAGTTTTATTCTTTGGCTTGCACTGACTAGCCACTACCTGAGTACTGTGAATGCATGTGTGGGAGGAAAAGGGTGAGAGTAAGAGTTACAGTAATTCAGTTAGTATGTTGTGGGAGATATAGGCTTCCTGGGCCGGCCAGGGCTACTAGCATAATTTGGAGCATTGTGGATCAAAAATTTCTGGTCCTACACCCCTGACCACACAATTTCAATTCAATATATGGCAGGTAGTACATGTACTAGTGCACATCCCAATTCCTTAGCACCCACCTGTGCAAGCATGGCAAGTCCAATGACTTAGACTATTCTCTCAATGTCACTAGAAACAATTTCAGATTCTGACATTATTTTTATTACAATTATAACAGATGCATGTAAGTGTAACTTGATAGTTGATACTTGAGTGAAGCTTAAAGTATGAGCAAAATAATGAGCATAAATTGGATTTGTTTCAAAGCATAATAGGATGGAATTTCGGACAGTGCTAGTGCTGGGCATAGATATAAATTTACCTGGCATCTTTAGATATGAAAGTGTCTTTGCTTGGTAATCTCCAAAATTGTGACTGAAGTGTACTCACAGTGCCTAAAAGCACAATAGGCAAAAATTGAAGCATAATTTGCCTAGTGATGTTAATAATAGTATTATATTGTGTAATAATAATAATTTATTACATAATTATAACTATCACAATAATAATAATTATTAATTGTCCTCGTGAGTGGGCGTAAAGTTAAGAATTCTTAATCTTAATTATACCACGCCTACAAAATGGCAGATAAAGAGGTAAGCTCAGCAAAATTCAGCACAGGAGGGCATCGTGTCCTTTAGGAAGAAGATACACGTCCCATGAAGGACAAGGATATTGGTAAAAAGTTCTGAGCTCAGACTTGAAGTTCAAAATGACAACAGCATAGAGAATGAGAAACAAAGTTTTCATCTAATTTTTATTTAAGTTCATTAGCTCTTGTTTGGTGTTGCTGAGATATTTGGGACATTTTATCAGAAAAAGATAATAGAAAGGACAAAAAACAGTACAGAGAGCTTCATCTTTTGTTATCAGTACAAGCTAAAATTCAATTGCTGTTTTAGCATGCATGAGATGTTCACATGCTACATGTAGTATAGTCACACCACATATCATGAGGCATTCACATGCATTATTTATGCTTAAAGGTTTTAAATTCCAAACCACCCCCATTGTCTTCCTAAATGCAACTGTAGAACTTGAGCTATACAAACCATTTGACTATGTGAATTTTAAATGTTATGAGCTCAGCCTGCTATCAATCAGTGTAAAATGATAATTTTCACACCTATCTAGAAAGATAGAAACAAAATAATGTATCTATTAAATTACCTAAAATGAAACACAACATTAATTAGTTAATCATTTTCATCTTCAAATGTTCATCCAGTCTTCTCCCCATTCTTTTCTTTCTCCTCAGGCTTTTCTTTCTCTGATTCATGATTACTATGTTCTGGTTTAGGTGTCTTTTCTGGCTCTCCTGGCTTAGGTGGTTTCTCTTCTGGTTTATGTGGTGTCTTTTCTTCCTCTCCTGATTCTTCTGGTTTAGGCTCTGGAGGTGGTGTCTCCTCTGGTTTAGGTGGCGGTTGTGGCTTTGGTGGCGGTTGTGGTGGTTTCTTCTCATTACAAAGTGGTAGTGATTCTTCTTTAGTGATCTGACACTCGTGTTTCAATCCAGTCCTCAGGCACACAGTACAGTTCTTACATGCTTCAGGCAGTCCATTAACACATACTGAATGAGCAACCACTTCTTTGCTGTCATTTAGCTTGCAACGTTGCTTTGTCTCAATACAGAAATTATTGCAGCCTCTTTTCTCACAGGTAAGGATCGATTCATTCCGTGTAACTACAGTTGGCTTCAACGGCTTGAAGATAGGTTTTGTAATATTCTTAGGTTTACAAGACCTTGGAGTGAGCTTGCATTTGTGTCCCTTTGAATTTGTCCTTAGACAGATTCCAGAGCAATTGTTGCACTCCATTGGCTGTCTCTTGACACATTTTGATATAACAACCAGTCTCCTCTTCTCATTCCTTCCTCGGCACTTATGCTTCTCAATGCAGTAGCTAGGACACTCATTGATAGTACCATTTCTTTCCTTGCATGATACTCCCTTGAGTTTGCGACTTTTTATTCCTCCTTCAACTGCTACCAAGAAGACAAAGAGAGAGAGAAAGACAAGAACAAAGGAGACCTTCATATTTGTCTTGTGTGGGCTAAGTAGCTTATAGTAAAGCTCAAAGTCTAGTTTATATAGCAACTAGTGATAGTCAACGTGTTGCTCACCCATGCAACCTTATATGGATTCTCAATACTATGCCCACTTAGGCTACTATTCACAATTCACACACAAGAACTGCCCTCTCATTGTATCATGAATCCACTGTAGGACCATTGACAAAAAGCCTCATAATAGCATAACAATTTGTTGAATTTACACTTTAGCAAAATTAGCATAGAATAACAACTGCATTTATGCAGGAATTCTGGCTCTAGCAAAAAACTAGTGAGTGGGCGTAAACCAGTTGATTAAAATTGATTATTTAATTTTGTAATTTATACCACGCCTACAAAATGGCAGATAAAGAGGTAAGCCCAGGAAAATTCAGCTCAGTAGGTCATTGCATCTTTTAGGAGGAAGATACGCGTCCCATGAAGGACTGGATATTGGTACAAAATTCTGAGCTTAGACTTGAAGTGCAAAATGACAACAGTGTGGACATACAAGTACCTATTTATACATAACTATTAATGATTAGCAAAGAAAGAGCACTTTTCATCTAATTTTTATTTAAATTAGCTCTTGTTTGGTGTCGCTGAGATATTTGGGACGGAGATGGCAAAGAACATGCGCTATACAATCTCCAATCAAGCAAAGATTGCAATATTCACCGACATTAGCTGCACCATAAGAGTATCCTACCTGAATTAAAATAGTAATGTAAAATAAGATGCAAAATTATCTCAATAATAATAATAAAGACTGATAAAGTACTTTATTTCTAAACTATGACTGCTCTCATTGGTTCTATATAATGTCCAATAATCTCAATCCTCTTATTTAAATTTCCTTGATGGCTATCATCAGATCCTAGGCTCACCTGACATTGCTTACGTTTCCACAGACACTCCGATGCATATTTATCGTAATACTCACTTTGCTCTTGAGCATTTGAGGAGGACAGCACAACAGAATGATACCTTTGGGCCTAAAGTAAGATGCATATGGCAGTCCTTTCATAGCATTATTGTATGGTACACATGTCTAATATAAGCCTGCGTTATGTCAAATATCAATTTGAGCTGATTCTAATTTTGATTGGATTTTTTGCTAATTTTTAAAGTTACTCCAAAATCGGGTTAAAGTCCCTGTACTATAGTACAGGGTCATTGGTCAAATTTTGCCAAAAATGAAAGGGAGAGAGTTCTCAATTTTTATAATTTTTTCTGATGCACATACATGTACTTATGCTATGTTTCAAGTTTGAACTGATTCCAATCAAAATTGGATTTTTTATGAATTTTTAAAGTTGCTCCGAAATCGGGCCAAAGTCCCTGTACTATAGTACAGGGATTTTGGCCGAATTTCACCAAAAATGACTAGGAGAGAATTCTCCATTTTTATAATTTTTTCTGATACACATACATGTACTAATGCTATGTTTTAAGTTTGAACTGATTCCAATCAAAATTGGATTTTTTACAAATTTTTAAAGTTACTCAAAAATCATGCCAAACCAAAGATCATTGAGTATGAGCTTTAACTGTAACTTAGGTTCTTATGTCCATATTAGGTAATGGTATGTGGCCCTACTGATGTAGGTAAGAGCACTTTGTGTCGTCTCTTATCAAACTATGCCGTGAGATCTGGACACCAACCAATACTTGTTGACATTGATGTTGGTCAGGTGAGTCTCACTATGTCATTCTTTATTAATTTTTTTCTTATTTTAATTGTGCATAAAATTTTATTATAAGCTGAATCTACACACCCACAATTAATAAACTTTGTTAGATTTTCTATTATTATTATTATTATTATTATTATTATTATTATTATTGTGACTTCCTTTTCTTCCTGCTTTTAGAGTGACATCTCCATACCTGGCTCTATTGGTAAGTATATCAACTGTCATTACTAATCAAGTAATGTCTGTTGATTTATCAATACAGTCAGTCAGTGACTGAGAGCTTTGCTTTATTTATTGGGTCTGCCTATCCATCAGTACAATTTCAGTACAGTTATTCTATTGTGGGTTAAAGATGTTTAGTCTCTGGGTATTGCCCAATTTTCAACAGAGGAGCATTAGTGCTAGTCATTGCATCTCCTTTGTATAGTAATTCAATAAATAAACAATAAAGTCTGAGAACATGGCATTGTCATGAACAGCATGGCACAATTTTTCTCACTGGATTACATGTATAGAATCATGAATAGATATTGTTCACTAATGTACCAGGAATAAATACACCTGCTCATGTGTGAAATGGGAAGTCTAGGGCTAGGCAAATTATGTTAGTATGATTTGGAGCAAAATAGGGCAAGTTATTATGCTGGCATAATGGAAGCATGATGGGTCAAAATTTCTGACTGACCACATGATTTCAAGTCGTAGTACAACAACCCAACCACTTAATGCTCACCTCCTCAAGCGTGGTGACCCATTCAAGCGTGGTGACTCACGCAAGTGTGGTGAATCCATTGGCTTGGGCTGTGCTATTTTGAAGTGACGCAAAGTCTGGAAACATTTTCAGATTCTGGCATTATTACAATATTGCAGCTATAGCAGATGCATGTACATGTAACTTGATAGTTGATATCTGAGTAAAGATTAAAATAGGAGGATAATAATGAGCAGGATTGGATTCATTTCAAAGCATAATAGAATGGAATTTGGGGCAGTGCCTAAAATTAATGGGCAAAAATTGAAGCATAATTTGCTTCAGTCGACAGTCAGAACTTATGTGTACGTCATATCAATGCTACACCACCTGCTATTGCATATTTTATTGGCGGTTTATCTTACATCAGCTCTTATCTTAATAGTAAAATAATACTATACAGATAATGGCTTAAGACTACATGTACATGTATATAATAATCCCCTTCCATTTTTCCTTATGGTTTGAAGCATAATAACTGTCATCTGAGTGTTTTCTCATGATATAGTGGTTTCTTATCTTAATTGTGTGTAGTGTACTACTAGCAATGCTCTTTCAGTGTAGTACTATTAACATTTATTATACAGTATTTAATATTTATCATGTTCACGTATTCTCTTTAGGAGTTCTACCAATCGAGAGACCTGCTGGTATTGAGGAAAACGAGTTCCTCAAACCCGGCAGTCTTGTTTACCACTATGGTCACAATAATCCGGCCTCGAACCTCAAGTTCTACGATACGCTCGTCAGCAAAACCTTTGAAATGTATCAGGAGAGATGTAAAGAGAATCCAACAAGTGAGACAATAGTAACAGTCTGTTGCATGGGCTATAATTAGTTTAATGTGACTGATACTGACTTAGCTTCCTTCACCTAACATACATGCATGTATGTTCGCCTGATGTACATGATGTAACGGAAGAATGAGGCTATGTTTATAGATTGTTTGGAATGGAATCACTCACTATATTCACACTTGACTAACCAAGCTAATACTTGGTACATTAACAACATTACTCCAAATTGCTGTCATTAATATGTCGGGACTACATGTCTATGTTTTATTGTGTCAAGATGCTAAGTTACTAATTGAGTTATCCTTCATAAATCACACTATAGCTACTTCTGAGACTGAGATTCATACCTTAGTCATTATTAAAGGCATTAAGTTCTTTCTGCTAGCCTCATGGCTGGCTTAGCTCTTTGATATATTGATCACGTTACTAATGAATTGCTGCTTCTTGGTGCATGGCAACGCTTTTGCCCAGTGCATAGCAACCAATTTCTTTTGTGCCTTTGTGTGCCAGTAACAATTGGCAGTGTATTACTCGACTGTGTAAACAAGAATAGCTAGTTATAATAATCTATAATAGTGGGGTGGAATGGGGACATTTTGGTCTTTATGCCATTATTGACATACTAGTTCAGCATTTGCTTGAATAAACAAAACATCTACTACAGTTAAGAGCATCATTTCTATTAATGACATCTGTTAGCATCTGCCTTGTTGATGACCTTTTCTTTTCCCAAATGGGTTGCCCTCTTTTGGCTTCTTCACATTTTGTAAGGTTCTTGGACAACCCACAAGGGAGGCACTGTTATTATTATTATCTTTTGTATTGGCAAAATTAAAATTATAAGAATGAAGTCTGAATTAGCACCTGACTATTCACAACAACCGCCATTTTAGACTGGACATTATGTTAACAGCTGGACATTATGTTCGTACAATATTCTATCACCATAGGCATAAAAAGTTGTTTATCAGGCTGTCTATATTTACTCTGTAGTGGTCATAAGGCTCCATATTAATTGGCTTATCAACAAAAGCTTTGCTATATATGTCTTCAAATTAGGGACTGATTATGAAATTTAATCAGAACGTGTGCGTGCCATTAATGTATTAACAAGGAATTAATAGGAAGAAATACAGCTTTGATGATTGAAGAAAATACATACAATATTATTATATAATTATGTGAAGCAAAAGGGAAAGGGTGTATGCATAGTTGTAGCTAGCGAAAGAGTTACATAACGATAGTCTACTGTACATTACACATATTTTCAACAAGGTAAGTATGAAATCCAAAATAACAATTTTTGGTGGCTTATCAGTTAATACTTCATTTACCAAATCCTCCTCCATAACCATGTCCTTTAGCACGATGGCCTCCTACCCTATGCCGTCCTCCTCCCCTATGTCTTCCTCCTCCATGTCTTCCCCTATGGCCACCTCTGTGCCTCCCCTTATGGCCACCACCAACTCTTGTAGGCTTCTTTGGGCATGTAACAAAATTAGTGACTGGTTGAGCATTCAGATTCCTTGCTCTGCAGGTAGGACTGGCCTTTCCTTTCCTCACGCATATCTGACTCGCGCTACAGTTACAGGAGGAACTCCGACGAGGCTTCTCGCAGTGAGAGCGAGTGATATTGACAGTGTTATTGGAGCGACAGGTCTTGATCCTCTCGACACAAGTTGTGTTGGTCTGACAAGTAACTAGCTCGCATGGCTGGTGGCAGGTGTTGTTGGGGCAGTGGCTGGCAGAGTTCTTATGCTTCAGGTTCCCCCAACGAGAACTATGCTTCCCCCCTTTTGCTTCAGTAATAGAAAGAGCAACGACCAGAAATAAGAGAGTTAAGAGCAGTCCTTTCTCCATGGCTGACCTGCGAAAACTTAACTCTACTTGCTTTTATTAATTGGAGGGTGTGACGTCATTTCCTATTAATAATACAGCTGTATTATTATTTCAATGTACATTGTTATTGGTAACTTATTCTGAGAAATATATAAACTGTCTCTAGCAGCCATATATGTCTACTTATTACTCAAGCATGTAAGAGTATAATAATAATAATAATGTTTGTATATATAATAGAGTAATCACAATTTATCTCTCTTTTACTATCTTTGTTCCTGTTTGGTCATATTACCTCTATTGATAACAATAATAAGCAATATTAAGTGGAACATGATTATGTCTGCTATAAAGTTTTAAATACAAATTTTCTATCTCTAAAGCTACTTTGGGTTTGGGTGGGTTATTTTGTGCCCAGTGTGTACATTGTAGCATATCATAATGTCAATATAGTCTCTCTCATTTTTCCTTTGATTATCCCCCTCCCTTTCCCTCCCTTTCTCCCCCTTCATTCCTTCCAGATAAGTACAGTGGGTGTATCATTAACACTTGCGGCTGGATTGATGGAAGTGGCTACAAGTGCTTACTTCATTGTGCTAAAGTGTATGAAGGTAAGCAAGTATTAGGTTTATGTCTTTCCCCTTTCCTTTTTGTTATGTCCTTCCTTTCTAATATCTTTCATAACTCTTCCCTTTCCTCCAGTTGATGCTGTGTTAGTGTTGGATCACGAGAGACTGTGTATTGATTTCCAGCGAGACTTACCCAAAACCACATCAATCATAAGGCTGCCAAAGTCTGGAGGAGTAAGACTTAATTGGTGCATTGTCGCGGTCAATTTGTTTTTTACAAATGAAATGCTGTATCCTTTATTAGGCAACTATTTGCTACATAGCCTACACCCAATAATGTGTCACTATTAAAATGTTGCTACATGATCAGTATACACCATATCCTTACCAATACATTAAAAGTGGTTTTCTCTCTCTCCCTCTCCCTCTCTCTCTCTCTCTCTCTTTCTCTCTCTCTCTCTCTCTCTCTCTCTTTCTCTCTCTTAGACTGTAGTCAGAGGTAGAGAGTTTCGTAAGAATCACAGAAATAATGTCGTTCGGGAATATTTTTACGGCAAAAAAGGATCCTTATCTTTGTTTCCTTTCTCCTTTGAAGTGCCATTTTCTGAAGTCTCTGTTTATAAAATTGGAGGTAGGGAATACAATGGAAGAGAGAGAAAGAGAGGGCCAGAGAGAGAGAGAGAAAGGGAAAGGGAAGGAATTGGGACAAGAGTGATAGGGATACTGTAATGTACATAACTTAAGACAAAGAGTTGACATTGTAGCAACAAAGTAGATTTAGAGGGAGGGAGGGGGCTAAATCTGAAAGTGTAATCCTGTGAATTCAATACAGTGAAACTATAATCTACCTGCACTCTGTAAACAAGTTTATGTATGTAGCTCTCACTTTAATAACTTTCTGTAGCTCCTGAAGTTCCGGAGTCTTGTTTACCGATTGGAGCAACGGCAGAAGATGGCAACACACAGCTAGTACCTGTTGAAATAAGTTAGTAATAATTATGCAAAGGGAGAGAGAGAAGAGGGGGAAAGAAAGATGGATTAAGAAATGAAGTAGAGGACAATATACTAAGTTTTGTACTCTATCATTATTATCTTGATTTCTTTTTATTTTAGACAAAGATCTTGTTAATAGGATAGTAAGTTTAAGCATGGCAACTTCACTTGAAGAAAATGTAGTCAGCTGTAGCAGTGCTGGATTTTTATGCATGTAAGTACAATAATAATAATAATAATACTAATAATAATAATAATAATAATAATAATAATAATAATAATAGTTTATAACTCTAAAACTTTAATCAGAATTGGCTCTGTAGCATAGGACATATCATTATGCATCAGAATATGTAATGAGGTATTTGCCGAGTTAGTTTTGGGGGGAAAGGCATGATATTTGAAGCTATTTTTTTAAATTGAGGAATTGAAAACTTTCAACATGCAGAGCATAAGTGTCTCAATATCCCTTTGATGATAATCAAAGACTTTGTAATTTATAGAAAAAATAATTTTGAATGCTCACAAATTAAGCAGCTGCAAGGTATATTTATTTATCTAAAAAAGTTTTAAATAATACAGTAATTGTACTTGTACATGTTACTTCTTGTTGTTATACCATAGCGGGATTATTTCTCTCCCTCTCTCTTACAGAACAGCTGTCAATACAGACGCTGAGACCATCACTGTACTCTCGCCAGCTCCTAGTCCTCTACCAAGAAAATTTTTACTGTTGAGTGACATTGAATTTGTGGACTTTAAATAATAGAGCAATCCTGATTGTCACATTATTATTCTTATGCAATTTTATGTTGTATAATTATTATAGATAATATCATTTTTTAAATAAATAATTTATTCCCATGTTAACCTTGTATGATAACTAAACAGATTCTTCACATAGATTATACAAATACATATATATGCACTGCATATCTCAAATGACTCCATTATAATTTAGAACATCTTGTTATTAATACTGCTAAAATAATAGCAATGATGACAACAATACAAAAATAATAATATGATACTTGACAAAGAAAGAACAAAAGAGAGAGAGAGGGAGTTATAGTGTTGTTGTAGTTCCTTGGTACTAGAACTAAATCATTTCTAGTGCTGCCTTTTTTCATAGTTCTATAGTTCCAAAAACTAGAAATAGTACTATTTATACTATAGTTGTAAGAGCCAGAAATAAACTAGAACTAGCTTATACGAGTCTTGTAGTACTAGAACTAAACTAGAACTAGTACTATTTTTACTATAGTTGTAAGAGCTAGAAATAAACTAGAACTAGCTTATACGAGTCTTGTAGTACTAGAACTAAACTAGAACTAGTACTATTTTTACTATAGTTGTAAGAGCTAGAAATAAACTAGAACTAGCTTATACGAGTCTTGTAGTACTAGAACTAAACTAGAACTAGTACTATTTTTACTATAGTTGTAAGAGCTAGAAATAAACTAGAACTAGCTTATACGAGTCTTGTAGTACTAGAACTAAACTGGAACTAAACTTCACCAGTGTCTCAGTACTAGAACTAAACTGAAGTGAAAGTACATGTATCTACTTTTGATATTACTGATAGAAGATGCAGCCAAGGGCTTATAGAGTAAATCAGAATTGATTAGGTAAATGTAAATTCAAGAGAAAGATAAATAATATTAGATCACAATAAATAATTACCCAGTCTTGATAAAACAACATATATGATGCATTGCAAAATAGCAATTACATGTATATAGTCAAGATGCATGATAATAATAATCATAGTGACCATTAGTCACACACAAGTAGGACTTTATTCATTCACAGTAGGTGAATGGCTCACTAATAGTGCCCCCATTATGACTACATAGTGACTGTCCATTAGTGTGGCTGTAGTTATGGCTTTACTCAAAGGAACTGGTAAAGTTTTTTAAGAGAATCTTGTAGTAATACTCGTTAGAAGGTAATAGTGCACTTTATTGGGAAACTATTGTACAATTACTGATACACCTACCCTCATGCACTGATATGGGCTTGCATATAAAGTAGCTCAGCAAGCAATAATTTTTGTATTTTAATACTGATACCTTCTGGTACACGGTATTCTTATCTTTTCTTAGTCTACAGACTACAGAAAATAACCAGAGTGTCAGACCCTCCAATGGCTACCAATGACACTCAATCACCTACAAGCATAGAGGAGCTCATTGCTGCAAAAAGCACTCCAAACTGGACTAAAGACTTCCCAGTAATTGGTCAGGGCACCCTTATATTCTCCATTCAGCGCTCCACACGATTCTTTATTGTCGTTCGTCCCAATATATCGAAAGGTAAGCCAGGAGCTGACCAATGGATTGCCCTCTCTGTTTTTGAAAACTCAGTTGAGTTCTCCATGTTCATAGATGGGAAACACACCTCATTAGTAACTGCCACTGGGACAGTTAAAAATGAGAAAGTCGGATTTGAAAAGGAGCGTAAGATATCGTATTGGTTGAGTTATGATCGTGACAACCTGGTGCTGAAATATGGTAAAGGGTATCGAATGGATGAAACCACGCTACTTGAATATGATTTTTTGGCCAAAGCAAAAGACCCTGAAAAAGAACGCAAACGACTGAAGTACCTCTTCAGTCATGAGATACGAAGGAAGATAGAGCAATATGATGAAATGCCAAAGGATAATATGATCGAGAAGTACACTAAATCATTGATTGATATAGAGGATAAGGTTGCGTTTGATAGAAACCCACTGGTCTGCAACTGGTCACCTCTAGTATTAGACAGCTCCAAATTGAATATGTTTCTGCTTGATGGCAATGATTATACATTCTCAGCTAGTCTACCTTCATATTGTCTGGAGTTGTATTCCAACGTTACAGCTCCTAATGTTGATTTAGATTGGGCACCAACAGCCTCAGGTAAAGATAAATACCAGCTTTCTGACGCCATTCGACACAGTCTTAAAAATGGCATACTTCGCAAAAAGCTGGAAAGTAAAGCTGCCCAGTTTGGTTCGCTAAAGGAGACATACCTACGAGTGACCCTGGGGGTCAACAGGGGTAGCTCCCCTGGTATACCGTACGTACTTGAAATATGGCCCAAGGATCATGGTAGTCCCATACATAATCATGGCAACTCTTACGCTGTTATCAGGGTGGTTCACGGTGGACTGACCATTAAAATATTCAATAAACTAGCTGAGAATGACAAGACCCCAGAGCTGATGAAATTTGATGTTCGAAAAGGTGATATCACATGGATATCACCAAATTGGTTCCAAACCCACCAGCTATGGAACTATACCGATGACTATTGTGCTACCATACAGTGCTACCAGTATGGAACCAACGATACAACAGACTGGCCATTTTTTGATTATGTTTCTGATACTTCTGAGATCTGCGAATTCAGGCCTGACACCGATTACACGTTTCATAAAATGAGAGAGCTTCTCATGAAAGAGTTCACAGAATACATGGACAAAACTAAGCAATAGTTATTTACAATATTGAACCCTTTAGTTAGTCAGTAGATAGATTTATTATTGATTTAGTTCTTCGTAGTTTAATAGTTTATGCTTTAGATTTCATTTAGTTTCTTACTTTGTTTACTTTCTATTATTTCAAAACTTTTATTTTTCCAATTAAATTCCTATATCAGGGCTAAAATAATTACAAGTTTAATCCTGCTATCATCAACAGTCCTGTATATTATGATGCATGAACATGAACATGGTGTGTAGAAGTGACTCCCTTAAATTTAAAATTAATGATTTCTACCTTTTATTAATAATACTGCTTAATAATAATAACAACAATGATGCCAACGATACAAAAATAATATTATGATATATATACTTGACAAAGAAAGAACAAAAGAGAGAGAGGAGGGCTAAAGATAGGTACATGATTACAAGTTAAAACTGCTTTAAAGGAACTTGATTGCTCATCAAACTAGAGTTATTACTGATCATACCACGGCCGCTCATTAAATGAGTCGGAATGTCTTTGATTCCCTTATGAAAAGCAGTGTCCCTGTTATTTGAAGAGACCACACCTCCAACTCCACCCACTTCTTGTCCCATGGTTGGACTTGGAGACTTACTGCTACCAGAGTTTTTAAGTATCCCGTTAATTTTGTTCCTCTCGCTGTCTGAATTGTCCGTGTCTTCGCCGAAAACAGACAAAGACTCTGTCGGTTTCTCTAGTGTAAAGTAGTAATGAGTTTCAAGAGGTGAATCAGCATTCATATTAGTGCTACTGCTGGTGCTGCATAGCAATGGAGCAGTGGAGGATTTAGAAGAATGTCTCGGTCTTTTTTGGCGTCTTTTTTTATCGTCTGTGATGGAAGATCGCTCTGGCCTTTTCACAACATCCATTTCCATTTCGTCCAAACGATCGATTTTATCTTTTGGATTGTCGTACAGCTGCTCAAAGACTGGAAGAGGAGGAGAAAGATCTTCGTCACGTCTATCAAGAGTTCGCCCAAAATTCTCAAGCGAAGGAGGTCGATGTATCGATCCTTCATTAAAGACATCAGCCGTATCATATGGGGCATCAAGTAGCTGTGAAGAGAAGCTATACTGCCCTGGAGGAGGGACTCCATGTGGAGACTTAGGCTGGACAACAGCAGAATGATGATTGAGGTGACTATACTCATCAGAAGAGTCCAAAGTATTGTTCTGAGCTGAGGATGATGGTAAGATGTAGCCAGAAGGCTCTTTAAGCTGTATGAACGAGCTTGTACTGGTCCTACTGTTTCTAAGGATGCGTCTCGCAAAGCTAGCCTGACTTGCTGTAATGTCACCTGCTGAGTTCACCATTGCTAGTTCCTCCTGGGTACACGAGAGGAGCTCCTCTTCCATCATGCGCTGGAGCATGCTCGTGTGCTCTTTCCAGTTTGTGTGTATGTCAGTTATTGTCTTCACTAGATCAGAGAATAATGGGCGATTATCAGGATCCTCGTCCCAGCATTGTGATAGCAATAGATATCTAGATAAGAAAAAGAGAGATAGTTTTATTTATGGAATAAATAAATGTACAATGAATATACTCCATAGCAATTGTTTTTAGCAACTTTAAAATTACATAAAAATCAAATTTTGATTGGCATCAGCTGAAAGTATAAACAAAACATTTTATAAGTGCAACATGCAAAAAGCAAAAACCTTTTTAGATAAAATTTGGCCAAGGAACACAGAACTATATTGGAGCTGACTTAGAACTATTTTTTGGGAAAAACCATGGATTTTCAAAAAATGACCCATTTTTTAAAATGATCATAACTTGAAATTTTTTTTATTGGAATCGACTGAAATTTTCTACACAGCATAAGGACATCAATATGTATCAGAAAATGTAATAAAAATTTGGGGTGATTTTGGAGCCATTTTTTTGAAAAAACCATGGGCTATAGCCTTGGATAATTTTCAAAAAATGGCCCATTTCTAAAAATGCTCATAACTCGAAAATTTTTCATCGGAATCGACTCAAACTTTCTACACAGCATAAGGACATCAATATGTATCAAAAAATGCAATAAAAATTTGGGGTAATTTCGGGGCCATTTTTTGGAAAAACCATGGGCTATAGCCTTGGGTAATTTTCAAAAAATGGCCCATTTCTAAAAATGCTCATAACTCAAAAATTTTTTATCGGAATCGACTCAAACTTTCTACACAGCATAAGGACATCAATATGTATCAAAAAATGTAATAAAAATTTGGGGTGATTTCGGAGCCATTTTTTGGAAAAAACCATGGACTATAGCCTTGGGTAATTTTTAAAAAATGGCCCATTTCTAAAATGCTCATAACTCAAAAATTTTTTATCGGAATCAACTCAAACTTTCTACACAGCATAAGGACATCAATATGTATCAAAAAATGTAATAAAAATTTGGGGTGATTTCGGAGCCATTTTTTGGAAAAAACCATGGACTATAGCCTTGGGTAATTTTTAAAAAATGGCCCATTTCTAAAATGCTCATAACTCAAAAATTTTTTATCGGAATCAACTCAAACTTTCTACACAGCATAAGGACATCAATATGTATCAAAAAATGTAATAAAAATTTGGGGTGATTTCGGAGCCATTTTTTGGAAAAAACCATGGGCTATAGCCTTGGGTAATTTTCAAAAAATGACCCATTTCTAAAAATGCTCATAACTCAAAAATTTTTTATCGGAATTGATTTAAACTTTCTACACAGCATAAGGACATCAATATGTATCAAAAAATGTAATAAAAATTTGGGGTGATTTCGGAGCCATTTTTTGGAAAAAAACCATGGGCTATAGCCTTGGGTAATTTTTAAAAAATGACCCATTTCTAAAATGCTCATAACTCGAACAATTTTTATCAGAATCGACTCAAACTTTCTACACAGCATAAGGACATCAATATGTATCAAAAAATGTAATAAAAATTTGGGGTGATTTCAGAGCCATTTTTTGGGAAAAACCATGGGCTATAGCCTTGTTTATTTTTATGGCAATAACTTAAAATCTTTTCATCAGAATCAGCTCAAACTTTCTAAATAGCATAAAAACATGTCAACATATTAAAAATAAAATAAGAATATCCTCCTGGTTAAAATAAAATGAAGGATTTTTATCAGGGTATGGCCCACCCTTGGTCATCATAATTAAGTTTGTCTTAATTGTCTGACATGCGGTCAATATGCACATGTACATGTATACAGGAAATAAAGTACATGTAAACACGAGTGAGAGATTAACTCAAATGTAATCAAAGTGCATGACAACAGAGGATCAACACAGACAATGTCATGGAGCTTTGCAAGCCATTTAATAAACGTAGTCTATACATGTTGTTAACATTGCTACAGGCTATCTCTCTACATGCAGTAATAAGTACATAATTGATAATAATAATGTATCATCATGTACTAGACATGTAGGCTTACATTTCCTTTGGAGCTAGCTTCGGTTTAGCTAGTCTCATTCCTTTCTCAATGTAGCTAAGAACATCAGGATTATCAATGGCTGGGTATGGAGTCTTGCCCAAGCTAAACACCTCCCAACATGTGACACCGAATGACCACTGGAGAGAGAGAGAGAGAGAGGAGAAAGAGAGAGAGAGAGTAGAAAGAGAGAGAGAGAGAGTGAGAGAGAGAGAGAGAGAGATTAAAGAGGTAAAATAATCACATGAGAATAATGATGCAAAGATATGTAGTACACAGCAGCAGCAGCAGCAGCAGGGGACTTTACATTTATCATTGCAAATTAGGAGATTGGAATTTTAATCGTGTTATTACTTATCATTGCAATATTCTGTACATGGCACAATAATAATAATTATAACATCATACATGTACATGTACATTCTAAGAAACGCCTGCAGCACTACAATACTTCTTCCATGCTTACCACGTCAGTCTTCTCATTGTACATATTGTCATGGAGGCTCTCTGGTGGCAGCCATTTCACAGGCAGTTTGACTCTCCTCTCCAATCTGTAATAATCCCTGCTGTATATATCACGAGAGAGTCCAAAATCGGCAACGCATACGTTGAGATTTTTGCCAACCCTAGCGTCAAATAAAACAGCATTATAATAATATATCGTGGCATAAATACATGTACATGTAGTGTATAAAAAATGCTGCTAGATATTGTTCTAATGGAGTGTATCAATTTGTAAACCCGTGCCAGGGCTGTATAAGGAACTCCTACTATTTAAATCATAGCTGGAGTAACAAACAACAACACGAATGGGATATAACATATACGTGTATGTATGCACGCATCTTGTATACCCTACTCCCTTACTCATTATTTGTACCAATAATAATTATTAATTACATGTCACACATTCATGCATGTATATGTACACACACAAAGTACATATTATCGGTAGCTAGGCAGATCAATGATGTTCACTTCCTTTGTTATTTTTCATCTCACTAGCTTACTCTCATAGCAACAGCCAGTAATGTCATTATACTTACTCGCTCTCTTTCTCTTTCTGTCTCTGTCTCCTTCCCTCCCTCCCTCCCTCACTCCCCCCTCCCTCCCTCTCTCTCTCTCATTCTCACTAATCTCTCCCCACATTCTCTCTCCCCCTCCCTCCCTCCCTCTTGTACTACTGCTGACTAGCTCATTCTTGAGCTTACTCACTCGGCACTACCAAATATGACAATAAAAACTTCCTACCTCTAGAAGCTTAAACAATGCAAGTACATGTACTTACATAAAACACACATGTATGTGTGTACATGTACTTATGTGTGTACATGTACGTGTGTGTGTACATGTACGTGTGTGTGTACATGTACGTGTGTGTGTACATGTACGTGTGTGTGTATATGGATCATCATCATTCCAATGGTAGCAGCTTACATGCAGTTTCTGGCCGCAAGGTCACGATGGACGAATTTCTTCTGTGCAAGATACTCCATTCCTTGACAAATGTCTAAGCATATTCTTATTAGGATAGGAACACTGATATCCTACATGTGGATAAAAAGGAAGAGCAATAGCTGTGCTTTCTTTCTGCATGCATAATAATAATAATAATAATAATAATAGTAAAAATAATGATCCTCCCTTTTTGTCCCCCTTTTGTCTCTTTTGTGTCTTTCTTATAATAATGATAATGTTAATAATAATAATAATAATAATGATAATAATAATAATGATAATAATAATGATAATAATAATGATAATAATAATAATAATGATAATAATAATAATAATGATAATAATAATAATAATAGTAATAAAATACAAAATACAATAATAAGGTAAAGCCTTACAGACAACATGATTAGGGATGGAGAGTCAAGTGTCTGATTCAATTAGAGTCACTGGTCAATACAAGATGCCATAACAATGCTCTACATGTACATGTACTAAATGTTTTTACGAGAAGCAATCGTATACATGGGTGACACTAATTATCAAACTACAGCCACTCACTCGTAGTAAATACATGGACATCGATCAGGTACATCTAGTACATGGAGTAATGTACATGTACATACATGTATATGTATACATGTACATGTACATAACACTGATGTGCATCCAACAAGTGTACATGTACATGTACATGTACATGTACATGTTTTACAGATAGAAGATGCAGCCAAGGGCTTAGAGTAAATCAGAATTGATTAGGTAAATGTAAATTCAAAAGAAAAAGATAAATAAAATTAGATCACTATAAATAATTATCCAGTCTTAATAAAACAACATACATGTACATAATGCATTTGTAAAATAGCAATTACATTAATAGCATTCATTGAAAGATATTAGTATACATGCACTATAATCATGAACTACATGTACATGTATATAGTCAAGATGCATGATAATAATAATCATAGTGACCATTAGTCACACACAAATAGGACTTTATTCATTTATAGTAGGTGAATGGCTCACTAATAGTGCCCCCATTATGACTACATAGTGACTGTCCATTAGTGTGGCTGTAGTTATGGCTTTACTCAAACGAACTGGTAAAGTTTCTTAAGAGAATCTTGTAGTAACACTCATTAGAAGGTAATAGTGAACTTTATTGGGAAACTATTGTACAATTACTGATACACCAACCCTCATGCACTGATATGGGCTTGCATTGATCATAAGATAATAGTAATAATAATAATAATAATAATAATAATAATAATAATAATAATAATAATAATAATAATACTCACATTAAGATCCGACTGTAGCTTCCTTTTAGTCTGTAGGTAGCTTTTGAGGTCCCCATTAGCCATGAAAGGTAACACAATGACAGGTAGTTGATCCTCAGTATCAAAGCACACTCCCAATAGTTTGAGCACATTAGGATGATCAAAGTCAAGCATTATTGCCGATTCAGACATAAATTCTTCCAGCTGCTCAGCAGTAGATACATCTGGAGGAACAGAGATTGAAATAATACAGATTTTAATTTCAATTTCAATAATAATGTTATAATTGTATCATTAATGAGATCGTTACCAGTTAGACATACTTTTATTAGATTTAATGGCCACTTCGACTTTCTCTCCTCCTTCCTTTAAGAGGAATCCTTTCTGAACCAAACCAAACGCACCTGATAATTAAAAAAAAAACAAACACATTAGCTATACAATCTTTACAGGAAATATTTGGAATAGATTGCACCTCGTGAATGTGTTTAGAACAAACAACTATAATAGCATATACTGTACATGTACATGTACATAAAATAGTGTACACTACTCCATAATCAGCCACAGAACAGGCACACGCCTAGTTATAAGGACATAGTGAGTGTCTATACCAGCTGTTCTATAGTGACCCTGACAGAAACAGACTATAACTCCATTAGTGAATAGAGTATACAGCTGTTCCTCTTTTATTCACACGCCACCACTACCTCAAACTGTATAGCCCACCAACAAGTATACATGTACATGTACGTGTAGAGTCTGATGTAGACTAAACCGGCTATATCGTCTCTTTCATCAAACAGTTCCTTTCATCAAGTTACACTATTGCTCTAATTGAATTGCTAATGCAATACATATTCACTCATTAGGAAACGTTGATCCATCTCTTTTACAAATGGCTATCTTTATTACTACTAATGATAAACATACATTGTACATGTAAATGTATTTGTACATGTATTTGTAATCCGATACGAGTATCAATTTACTCCACAAAACATAGTAAGTAATTATTCGTCTGTGTGTGTGTGTCTGTGCGGAAATTCAATTTCATGACAAGTTAGTTAAGTATGTGGACAAGTTGTTCAATTAGCACTTCTCCTCTCTCTCCCTCTGTCTTCATGCTAGTACAAAGTCGTGTTGACCGTCACGTACAACCAAATAACATAAATTCACACGTATACAAAGTGTAATGAACTCACTCACACACACACACACGTACTTGTACCACATATTTTAATTATAGTATCATTTTATAGGCAATTACCTTCTCCAATGGTATCCAAAATAGTTATTTTGTCATACTTGACGATAAAACGTGAGAATATCAGTTTCCACTTCTCATAGTCAATGACAGGCTTCCCGTACACTTGGAGGATGGTGGGCGTTGACACTGAACTGTTGACAGCTGCTCCTGTAAGCTTAGTCTGACCAGCTGAGTATAAAGGAGATACAACATCGGACACAGCTGCTGTCGATGGACTGAATTGCTTAGATCTCCTTCTAAATTAACAAGAGATAGAGATCATTTAAATGTACATGTACACATGCAGCCATTGTGAGTGTTATATACAAATAGTGTGGAGGGCATGTTTTTATTGAAGTATGCATAGACTAATGTCACCAATTAATTTACATAAGGTGAGTATGTATACCAGCTGTGAGGAAATAAATGGTCCAGCTGCATAATTATTTTTAAAATCTTAACCAAGAGTTCAGAGTATTGTATATACAAGAACCACTAGGAGCCAGTGGTGACCATGTACTTATACATACAGAGAGAGAGAGAGAGAGAGAGAGGGAGTATAGAGTTGCTTATTGTATAGATTTTGAACAGCTACTGCTGAAAATGGATTTCAATATTATATACTAACAAATTTGGTGATAGGATAATAAGTTAATAATGACATTAGGCCTTGTAGAGAATGATTGATAGTGCCACCGGTAGTGCATATGATGTCAAAATGAAAAAGGATTAAGAATGACTCGTAAACAAGAAGAGAATATGCAAGGGTTGCTTGAACTTTGGGAGAATACCTCAAACCATATAGCTCCATTTCCAGTGAGTAACTCACTAAATCACCTCCCCCCTCTCTCTCTCTGATCTATCCTTCTCTCCCCCTCTCTCCTCTTCTCTCGTTTATTATTTGCAAGGGTTGCTTGAACTTTGGGAGAATACCTCAAACCATATAGCTCCATTTCCAGTGAGTAACTCACTAAATCTCCCCCCCCTCTCTCTCTCTGATCTACCCCTCTCCCCCTCTCTCCTCTTCTCTCGTTTATTATTTGGTAGTAAATAGAGTCCAACATAAGAAGCAAACAATTATGTGATCTCATCTGATACACTCACCTGCACCTGGACCTCCTAGATGTAACCCGCCCTCATGTACATGTACATGTATAACCAACCCACCTTCATCAATTCACACCACAAACTCTTAAACTGTACATGTACATGTACACGTATACCATTAGTGCATCTATAAAGTAGTCAAATACAGGCTATAGAGAAGGCATTATTGCTTAATAATGATTAGACTAAACTCCTCAGTAGTGTACCATTAAGTGACATTATTATTATGTATTTTTAAATTACTATACTTACTACAATGAATGTCTTATCACTACCATAAGATTGTCATAAGAGGGAATATTCTCATAAAAGCAAATCTGTAGGACAACTGTCTGTCTCCTGACCCAGATAAAGACTGATTGTTCTTATCAGCACACACACACACTCACTTACATAATAACACATAAACAGTTTCACATTATAATTCTCCCTTCAATAACTGAGACAATAAAACCAGCCTCCACTTACATGTAGAGATATACATGTATAATAGTACATGTACATTTACATTACACATACATGTACTGTATTACAAAATAATTGAGGGACTCCAGCTACTGATGTTGACAGGGAGAGTTACGCAATATATGATGAGAGAGGCCATAATAGGGGCCCACAATACAAACCAACTCCTCCATTTCCTAGTAAGCATCTGTGCTGTGTAGAATCACATGATACACTCTAGGTATAGTACACACGCATAGTAGCTGTGTTGTAATAATAATAACACATATTTTGTATATATTTCATGCATTATATATTTCACTATTAATTTTGGTATCATCAGAGTTGACAAGGGTACATCTGCAACTTAATTGAATCATAATATGAAATGAAATCTTATACCCTTTGCCTAATATGGTAAATCAGCTGGGATATACATCCAATAGATAAATAAAGTCCACATTGGACAACATGATGTATCAGTAGAGAAATACATGTATAATTGGCATATGCAAACAAATATACATGTACATGTACACCTCATGCTGATGATAGAAATTCCGGTTTGATTGATAGTTACAGAATTACTTCATAATCAAATTACATAATGATTTCAGTCCTTAATACAGAGGGCCAACGGGTCACACAGAACACAGCTGGAATACAAACCAATTCCCTCCATAACTCAACAACTCTTTAAAAATAATATTTAATAATAATTTAATATCGTGCTACTTCTTATCATTGGACTAAAAGGTGATAGATATTGGACTCTGTTACACTTTGATGCAGTTAAAGTTAGAAATTGTCACCCAAGGAATGATCTCTTTTACAGACACAACCACACAATACGTGTCAAGTTACCAAGACAAGCCCCATTACTAAACCCTCTTAGAGGCTAAAGCACTACAGTGTGGTCAGCAGGCACAAAGTGAACTAAAATAATCTATGAATCTAAATAAACTGCTCTATCAAGTATCAATTACTATGATGGCAAGCTTTTATAGGTACAGTGCCTTTATAAATGTATGTACATGTACATATATGTACATGTACATATATGTACATATATGTACATGTATGTATATGCATGGGGTACATCATCAGTACATGAATTTATACCTTCTCATTGATCTGACAATAAAACAGACACAGATTAGTAGAATGAGGAGTATTAACAAAATTCCCACAAGGCCCACAGCTGCTATGAAATAAACCTCTCTAAAAACTAGAAAGAGAGAGAGAGAAAAAGAAAGAGAAAGAAGAGCAATATAATAACTTTATTTAATAAAATAATATACATCTACAAGTAATACTAATATCGAAAATGACAAATCTGGTCCAAAAACATCACAAAGCTCATCCAACCAAATTGGCAAGCTGATCACAGTTAAAAATGAATAACAATAATCTCAAATGCATTAAAGCAGCACAGGATCATATGTACCTACTACGTACAATTAACATTATTAACTGCATGGCTATGTGTGTGTGTGTGTGTGTGTGTGTGTGTGTGTTTATTTGACATGTGGTATGATGAGAGAGGTTACTTTATTACCAAACACACAACAAAACCAACAATCCGTAAAGTCCAGTAGTATATAATACTAACATACCTTGCTGCCACTAACAATTGCTATCTACTACAAGTTCACAAACTATGCCATAATACATGCATAATACTATTAATAGATATAGATGTACATGTATGTATCCCTTGGCATACATTAGGAACATTAGAAAATTGTCTTTTTCTCCCTATCTCTCTCCCTCTCTCTCTCCCTCTCTCTCTCCTCCCTCTCTCTCTCTCCCTCTCTCTCTCTCCTTCCTCTCTCTCTTTCTCTCAAGTGAATACTAGTGTACACATACACAGCACAGCTGCCAAGGCAGCCATTTAAAACAAGTTGATATTACGCAACAAATATTGAAGTAAGACAGAGAGAACAGAATATATAACACACAAATCTTTAACAAACACGCATAACTAACTTGGTAAGGGGTTGCTAGGGCCATTGGACGCAGCAGGTGACACAGAAACCATTAAACTTGATGAAGAAGAAACACTAACAGTAGATGTTGTAGCAATCGAGGTAGCAATAGAGCTACCAATGCTACTACTACTACTAGTAGTATCAACAGTGCATTGATGAATATCAGTGTCTCCTGTACAACTATACACAGACTCCCACTCTGTTTCATTAAAGAAGATACAAATTGAGCTTCCATTGCTATCTGCCACTGATGCTATGAAATAGGAAGAGGACAAAGACGCTTCATACTGACGACTGATATTCTTTAACGTCACATAGCTGCCATCATTGTTAAGAAACGTAGTATTACATCCTTCTAAAAGATTACGAACAACTTGGTTCATAGTACTACTGATATGAGACATTTGGCACAATAGAGAAGCATTAGTGTAACTGAAGATAGGAGATTGAGAACAAATACTAAAAAAAAGAGATAAAAGAGAAAAAGAAAGAGATATAGCTACTGTATGAAATATTATCAAAAATATTGAATTCCAGCTCCACTCAATGTCACCAAACACCATAACAGGCAATAATTAGACACACAAGATTAAACATTGGACCAGCTAGCAGTCAAACAATACATGTACATGTACATGTATATACAGGTACATGCTTTACAGGCACTACAGGCTTCATTGTGCATGCACCAGCTGCTACACTTCCCGCTACAAAGCTAGGATAGTAATTCAAAGAGTATCAAAGGAGTAGCCACAACCTACCAGTGATAGGCATCACCTAACCTAACCTATAACCTCCCTCATAAACAGTAACACAATATAACCATAAACTGAGAGATATCAATAGCTTTTAGGGACTACACAAAATGAAGGCTCAAAGCAATTAGAAGACCTCTCTAATGGCATCCTGTCCTGTGGTCTGTGACTGATTCCAAGAGTCAATTACATGAGACATATACCACAGTGCTTCCCACCACCTGGTCTTAAGGAATATGTGTGCTAATTGAACTAAGTCATTGGCTCATAATCAAGCAGACACAAAGCCTATGATGTGATATTGTAGCCTGGCTGACCAACTTGACAAAAAGGATACAAAATGAAAGTAAAAACAAACAGTAAACAAAACAGCGGCTCGTTTATTCTATACCAACAATAATACAAAGACGCTCTGGTACATGAAAGTAAGAGCGAATTAGCCAGCTGTCATACTTTATTGCACTTTCTACTCTCCCTCCTCTTTGTACTTTCCTCCCGTTCCTCTATTTACTACGCTCTCGATCACTTATCTCTCTCTCTCTCTCTTTATTCTCTTACCTGCAATTATCAGTAACAGATGCAGTGGGACAGGGTGAGGCCATTGGTGTACCTGTTTAAAGAGAGAAAGAGATGACAAAGGGTCTTTTGATTGGAGTTAATAATTAAATAGAGAATATGCAATGTGTAAATGTAATTCTATACATTATCAAGTTCATGAAAATAGTGATTTTTTCCCACAAAAACTAACAATATTTAAGTAGTTTTATGTTTTTATTTCAATTTATAATGAAGTGATGTTGTTTAGCTGGCAGGACAAAAAACACCCTGCCACTTGTCTAATTAAGAGACTAATATAAAATAAGGATATCACAATAATAGTACAGTACATGTACATGTAGCTGCATGAGTGCTCATCCATTGAGCAGTATTAGTTAGTAATTAGACAAAGTCATTCACTATTGTACACATGTAGTTTACTTGATGGAGTGGGTGACATAAAGTCAGTTGAGGAGATGTATAGATCTGAAAAGATAGAAGATGTAGGCCTAATATTACGAGTAAAACTAGTAACAGAAGTACTACTGATCAATGGAGAACTGCTACTGACCACTGGATCTATAGTAGATAATGATGAATAAATCATGAATATAATTACAACTACTAACCTATTATACAAGGTGTAGAATCTTCTTTGGCAGTAAAGTTAGACCAGTAACTTGATTCCTTGTTATACTGTATCCCTTCTATAGTAGTATTGTATAATGTTTCATTACAGTCTATTCCTTCAAGGTATATATAATGATTGCGACCGTTAAGTACACCCTGTATTTGATAGAAATGCAACAGGCAGTTCATTTGACAGGAACACGATGTTGTATTATATTGAATACAATGAGTGGATGATAATTTAGGAGGCAAGCCAAAACTATCTGGCAACAATAAATGAATGAACAAGTTTCCATCTTTAGCACAGTTAGTATAATGTGAAGACCAGTTATGTGTCACATTAGAGAAATTGAGAAGAGAAAATGCCTCACAATTGCCATCTTGAACACTTCCATTAAAGAAACTGACAGCACTTGATCTAAATGTAAATGTATAACTTTAATTCATAAATCAGTTACAGCATAACTTACTGAGAATATGTACTGTAACAGGTAGATGAACCTGCTTGTGATACAGGAATAGTCCCTCCACTGCATGATAAACCTATAGTAGGTACTACAAAGTAACCTAGGCAACAATAGTGTACTTCCCAACATAGTCACTAGAATCACTTCCTACACACATACCACATCACCCAATGACATCATCATCAGGAGGGAGACAGAATGTAGTACATGTACATAATAATAAATGATATATTATACATTATATTAGGTACATTCACTACATTGTACAACATGTAGGTCTTCAAGGATGATTGTGCAGTATAATGTATTAATAAGAAAATGTGCATAGAAAGTAATGGCTTTACACTTGAGAGCTAATACAAACACAGTGAATTGAAATACATACATGTATGTGTACATATATCATGAAACTAATTTTAAGAAACACAGTCAGCCAGTGTACATTTGCAATTACAAAATGAAGAGTACAAGTCAAATGGAAAGCATGACAGAATTATAGCCCAAGAATGCACTGAAGCCATTGCACTATCTTGTATGTGGTTTGACTGAGAAACTACTATCACAACACCTGTAAGGAGTAGTGGGTCACAAGCCACACTCATCACTTCTGATCTACATGTATACTAAAATTGCTAATACTCCTTAATAATAATATTAAAGTCTCTTCATTTTATACTTCAACTATGAAAAAACAATTGTATTTATGTCAGCTTTCCTTCCCACCCACAACAAAAAATAAAACTCCCACAGTCTTCCCTAATATAATGTGAAGCATTGACTGTATACTTCCTACATTTATTTCAGTCATAGCAAGGTAAGTGTGTTATGGCCTAGAGAGATATTTATGTTATGACCAAACCGGTTGAAGGAGTGTATATACAAGTATGCATATGAGGTTTCAGATTTTCCTTCAAAATACACATATGTGGTCTTGACATAACTTCAAAGTAAACTTTCTCTCTCTTTGTCTCTCATTCCCTTCTCTTTATTTTCCTCTTTCTATTTCTTTATGGCCGCGTCCCTTTTGCTTTGTCTGACTGGATATACATAAGCTCTTTCCAATTTGGCATGCAATTTTACTAACAAGTAGCTACAAGATGTCATAAATTTACTATCAAATACATATTCTGTTTTCGTTCTGACTCATTTAATTCAACAGCCTTAAAATGCTTTTAAATCATTCAATTCAATCGTGTAGATAGTACTACTATTACTACTACTATTACATGTCATCTATGTCTACACCTTGTTTATACCAATCACTCAATCCACAATGGTCCATAATACATGTACAAGACACTCACTCTCTCATCAATGGGGAGCTACAATGAGGCTAAAACTTGTCAACACTTTAAAAGCTCATTGTCCGAGTCTATACACTCAGAGCCTTCTAAAACATCTAACAGCTGGTAGACTTATCAATAGGCCATGGGTAATTGGGAGGTGTTAACAAATTGAGCTGCAGCAACAATAATTACACCAGAATGCTTTGAAATTAAAAGCAGAGAGAAAGAGAGAGACAGAGAGGCAGCCAGCATTATAATTCTTTGAGGCTTCCTCCCCACATATTATAGCTGTCTTTTAATAAACTCTGTATCAATAAGAATGCACCTCTTTGAAGTGCAGAATGGAGTAAATGAGCAAGCTAATAAACAGCAGCTGAGCAGCAATAACATGTACTCTCTGCATGTGGTTAGCTGTACTTTAGGCCCTCAGGGACTTGAGGCTAACTTTGTAGCAAAAGAAATCAAGTTACAAGCCTGAATGGGTCAAGTAAAATTAGAAGAGGCGGAAAGGGAGATTGCCAGACAGCGGGGGAAGAAAAAGCTAGTCCAGGTAAAGAGACCTGTGCTCTATTTCTTACCAGGGATTGCCCGTGGACACAAAAAGTGAACAATACTGTCAATATAAATTTACAAGACATACATAAAACAACGGCTGCATGCAGTATTACAGTTCACAAGTCCTTACCTTCGGAATATGAGAGGAGCGGGGAAAAGAAGAGGATAGCTAGCAGCATGCTAAAAGTTCCTTCCATTGCTTTAAAGACCATCCAAAAGAGCTCGCCTTAAAAATAAAAGAAAAGAAAATGTATGAAGCTTAGACTTGGCAGTACATTTTATCCCATAGCCAATGGGCGGTACTAAGTCACGTTGGGGTGCCCCGGGGCAATTAGAAAAAATAAAATAATAATTTCTAAAGTACAAAGTACAAACAAGCAGCATTAAAAATAAAAAATAAGCATGAAATTGATAAAAATAACTTGGGATTGAATAAAAATGTCTTTTATACAGATTCTAAAACAAAGTAAGGCCTATCATTATTGTTACTGGTGGATACAGCTGTCAAAACCTCTTGATCCATTTTTGTAAAGGTATTAACAATCTCAGAGAACTTTGGTCTTTCAGCTGGAACATGAGACCAGCATTGAGTCATCAGTGTGTAACTACAGATGAGTTAAAATTGAATGCAGGTAAAGTAGTGTACCAAATTTTAGAAAAGGACTTAAACAGGTATTATACTAACATTGAAATATGATAAACAAGCACACACTCACATCAACGTGTATGAGCATAAACATCAATAATAGTATCTTACATTACTGGTGGACATAGTGAAGGTTGCTTCAGTCTGTTTCCAGCTGAGACATAATCCGGAATATCAGCATTATCCAAACCAGGATAAGGACCTCTACCCAAACTGAATATCTCCCACAGTACCACACCATAAGACCACTATATAGCAATTGAATAGTTTGATATGCA